TAAAATTTGAAAGTTTTTTGATGCACAAAAGTATTTTTAATCTTAAAATGAAAATTAGTTTGCATGTTGGATAGGCAACATGCAAAAAGAAAAAAAAAGGCATGAGAAAAACATTGCTTAACAAACCTTAAGACTTAATATTAAAGTTTGATATTTTGTATATGAAAGCATTGTAATGTTTACTGATAATGTGCCAAATTTCGTTAACATTTGCTTACTAATTTAAAAGTTATAATATGAAAACTATAACAGGCACAAAATGTTGAAAGTGTGCTGAAAGAGTTAAATTGGCTAGAGAATAGTAATAAAAGTTAGATTTGACTAGATAACAGTTAAAGTGGTGTGCCTCAGGGTGTTGTGCTGGTTGTGATTTATATTAATGATATTGACTCTGGAATGACTAACAAAATTTTGAAGTTTGAAGATGAAATTAGGATTTTTGGGGTGGGTAACTATATCAAAGATGCTGCAGACATACAGGGAGATTTAGATCATTTGATGTATTGGGCCAATATGTGGCAGATGATGTTTATATATCCAAAATATAAGGTGGTCCATGTAGGTTTTTACAATTTAAATGGGAATACATTAAATATTGTGGTTGAAGAAAAATATCTTGGTGGTGTTTTAGAAAAATCACTTAAGTCATCAAAACAGCATATTGTTGCTGGCAGTAGGGCTAATAGGGATTTGGGTAGCATCTATAGAAATACTGAATACAAGACAAGTTATATTATTGTTTCACTGTATAGATCACTTGTGAGGCCTCATTTAGAGTAATGTGTACAATTTTGGGCTCCCTTCTTCAAGAAGGACATTGAATTGTTGGAGAAAATTGGGATGGTGATATTGTCCTGAAAGGAGAGTAAACTTGTTTTCTCTGGAGGAACAGAGGGGGATTTCATTAAGGTGTTTAAGGTTATTGATAATATAGATCCATCAAACTTTTTTTGTGTTTAGTAGTGAAAACAATAGGACAAGGGAGCATAAATTCAAATTTTGGCAGTGTAGGAGTCGTCTGCAGTTTTGATGGTATTATTTTTCAAACAGGGTGGTTGGCTTTTGGAATGAGCTGCCTTCAATGGTGGTGGAGGCAGAAAACTTAACTGAGTTCAAGAAAAGATTGGATGAATACATGAGTAGTAAGTGGTGATTATAGTTGGGAGCTGGAAGGGACATCCTTGATGGGCTAATAAGCTCCTTTTTGTCCCTTTAAAGTTTTGTGAATTTTTATTGATACTAGTGTGATACTGCACGTTACAGTTTTGATTAGTTTGTTTTATTTTTAGATACATTTAAGATGTATTTCAGCAGATATGTTGACTGTGAGAAAGTGATATTTAGAGAGCTTCACAAGAAAGTTAATGAACAAATGGGATTTTTAGGTAATTTTGGAAAAAGTTGAAAATGAATGTGAGATGAGTTGAGGTTTTCCTGATTGAGAGAGTTTGAAAATGAGTACTGGAGCCCCCTAGGTGTAGCATGAAAATCATGCCCAATGTCTCTTAATATTTACACCAATCATATATGTCCATGCTGGGCATGAAGACTAAAGTACAAAAACTTTGAGATTATAAATGAGCTTTTCATTCACATTTGTTTACGAGTTATTTCTTTAGCTTACCAACCTTATAATTCTATATAACATGATGAATACTTCAAGCTAAGAAACCACATTTTCATTTTAATAGAGTTCTTTAAAAAATATGATTTAATTTACTAAGTCTTATGTTGTTCACTTGATATCATTATCATTGATTAAATAGCTGCATTGTTTCAAAAAACATCTTGTAGCTATCATTTTTATACATAATTCCATCATACCCTGTTTCATTGAAAGTGACAAATGTATGAAACATTGGGTATGAATTTTATGCTATAGAAACAGGAGAGCTTCAGGGGTATTTGCAATCTGTTTTATTATTTATGCAGTGGCCAGATATCTTTCAAGTACTAAATAGCCGGCAGTCTATAAACTTGAATATGGATAATAAAGTAATAATAATAAAGATGATGAATTATAATTACAACAATGATACTAGTGATAATTAAAAAAATATTTAAATGTAAATTGTCATATTGGAAACTTTTTGTCAATATTCATGATCATGAAATTATGGACTGCTGGGTATCTAATATTTTGATGATTGTTCCTGGTAGCTTCTAGCAAAAACACACTCCCAATGACACTAAACAAAAATGACAATAGGTATTTATCTTTCCAGTGCAAAAGTTTTATTCAGATAATTTCATCAAGCTTGAAGTCAAATCAGTCTCATAATTTACTATTACTCGTTTTCTAAGTCAAGTGACAGGTGATCATAGCTCATCAATATTCAAAATTTTGTACTGTCATGTATTTAGTATTTGAAATATTCCTGGCTGTCAGGTAACTAGCCACTGTGTATTATTTATGCAAACAGTTCTGATAGCTACTTGGGCAGTCACATTTGTAAAACTGTTAATAATGCTAATTATACAGATTATTTTTTGAATTCAGTAAGACCAGGACAGTCCATTAAATGTGCAAGAATGTAAATATGAGGTTCAGTTTCTTTGAAATGTAAATTGATGCAGTTGTAGCATGAAAATTTATAAAGGATTCTTGTACGAGGAAAAAATATTTACAGTGTTATGATAAGAAAAAAAAATATTCAATTTGATAGTTGGTAAAATGTTGAACAAGTTGAAGTCTTGAGCTGTATGAAAAGATCTAACACATTTTAAAATGTATTTTAATAAAATTTTGAATTTGATATTAAGTTTATTGCATTTGTACAAGAATGTTAGGGAACATTTGTTTAAGGTAGTGTGTGCAGTTGTAGTGCCTTTACCAGAGGAAAGATATTAGCATGTTAAGAAAATGTAGAAATGAGTTGCAAGAATAATACCTGATCAAAAAAACTTGATTTAGTCATTAGAAATGTTTTAAAGTCTTGAATAAATTAATCCACAAGAGATTTGCTTGACTAGTAGAATAAGCATTCAGAGTATAAGTGGTAGCATTGGAAACTAGCTCAGATTCATCTTTGTTCTTTCGATGAATATTGGAAAAAATGTTTCTGTGTTGTGATGTATTCTGGTCCTTTTAACTGGAATTTTTATTGATGTGTGTATATTAGGGTGATCGTTATTTTTGAAGTTTTGACTTGGAACATACTCACCACCTCATTTTGTTCCAATATATAAATAAGTAATTCACACCAAATTTTATTGAATATTATACCTGCATATTCTAAATATTCCAAAGTTGATTTCTAGCACTTTGGAGGCTTAAGCTTATGCTCTAGCATATTAGCTGGAAGCATGAGTAGTCACTGATCATGTAAAAGCAGTTTGCTTTGACACAACAGCAAGCAACACTAGTCACAGAAATGGAGAATGTGTGCTGTTAGAACAAAGATTAAATAAGAATCCTCTATATTTCTCATGCCAGCATCTTATCTTAGAACTTATCCTGGCATGTGTTTCCAAAGACTGCATGGAACTTTCCTCTGGTCAAGATATTGCAGTTTTCAATTAATTCCAGCAATCTTGGGAATGCGTGGACCAGTAAGTTATGAAATTGCAGCTGACCATGATGAAGAAGCAGAAGTCATAGAGAAAGTTATGGATAGTCGTTGTGTTTGCTCTAAGTCGGCCAACCAAGAGATGATTATCAATAGCTTCTTGAACTAGACATAACCTATCTTGGTAGAGTGATTTATAGCACCTGAAGCACTGCATCATGCACATTGGATGATCAAGGCATTATATACTCTCAAGATCTGTGTTTATGAGACAGTTTAACCTTGGTGACTGTGAGGAAAGAGCACTCTGTGACATCTGCATCTTTGAGTCTATTTTAGGGCATCTTTCACTGCTCTTGATGCCATTTCTGCTCCTTGCAATGATCCTCCCTTCCTACAATGTTTTGTTAAGTATAAGGACAATTTTGCTCTTTCAAAATCTGCCTGTAAAAAATTTGTTCGACATCTGTGGTATCTCAATGAGGAACCCGTTGGTTTGGCATTCTTTGGTTCAGCTGTAACCACTGAGACAAAATGATCAAAGTGCTTATACCAGGAAGTCTAGGAAAATTTAATATTTTTTCACAAAAAATACAACAGACTTCTTCAGGTACTGTGAAATTCCAGCTGGATTTCTGGATTATGCCTCCAAATCGTGGGAACTTGGAGTTCAACGCTTGAATGTGGTGACAATACTGAAAATGGTTTGGCTCCTATTGAAGAGTATAATATCTTCATAACATAGAAAAAGAGAAACAATTCCTCCTTGATGTGCAGGACCATGGAAGACACTTTCATAACTGAAAAAGGAAATGATAAGAATGCAAAAGTGAATAAACCACATGAAAGTCATATAACTGTACATGCAATAAAATATTTTAAATAAATCATTTATTATGCATGACAAATATATTTTTATATCACATAGTAAATATGGTACCAGGCCACTACAGTCTAGAACTTTTTGTACATTGAAACATAAATAGATGGTGAGAGCTTTAGAATGTTTAGCCTGAAATTTTACTTGCAAATAAGGGCTCTTCTAATATGGATATGAATAGTTACAAATAGATTAGCTGTTCTTTTCTTGGTGGTAATACTTATTAGCATACTTTTATGATATAGTTAGAGAAAAACCCCAGAAACTAAATAGCCTTGCTACATAAAAGTTTTTATGGATATCTGTGATATAGTTTTATACTAACTTAGACTGGACTAGAAAAAAGGCCAAACAATGAACTGACATAATGACACAACTTTTTGTAGGTCTTACATAGTCATATTAATGAAACTCAAACTTCCAAAGTAATTATAATGCCTATAATGTCTAAAACTTCATCTATAGTTCTGTAAAACCAAGAACATTTGCTCCAAAAAGTTGGTTGTTGGTAATGGATATGCAAGTATAAAGATAAGTATAATTCTGTTTGAAATGTTCACTTCTGTGATTCACCATTTGTAAATATTTAAGTAAAGCTTATTTATTCACAGCTGGGTTCTGGAAGTCACTTAGTGAAGACTATAAAACAGTGGCTTTTGAAACATGGATAGAGTCCAAAGCAAAACCTATAAAAACAGTACTGGTATTGTCAGGTAATGTAACAGTTTAATAAATGTGAGTCTCTGATATCACTTATTAAAAATATTCTAACACTTCTGAAGTACACAGTTGTGATAGACATAGAATATACCAGCAGTAACACTAAGGATAACAGTTTATCCTTTTGTACTTTTATTAAATTGTTTTCATAAATTGTTATCAAGTAGTAAAAATGTGTTGTAAAATTTCTCATCTTTCTGGCAGCAACATTAAAACAATCAAGACAAGTTGCCTTGAAAATAATAATTGTGTGATATTAAAGGCCAATGAAAATTTATTATGGGAATCTAGCTATTAAATACATCATTACAACTATTCCATGAGAAATAATAAATTAACTCTTAAGTTATGACTTTAGGAGGTTAGTAAGGAATTTCACAGTTGTCAAATTGACATCAGTTTATAAATTATAGTTATTATATATGCCCCTATACCATTAGTAGCTATGAAAGCATTCATTTTTATTAACAAGTATTTGAAAAAGAACTTAAATTAATTTGTTCATGACATTTATTTCTTGTAGTAAACTCTGTTTTATTTGCTTTTTACCTTAAGTTTGAAACACTCAAAATTCAAGTCCTGTTCCTAAAGGTTATTTTCCTATAATTGAGGCATTCATTTAGTGCCACTTATTGAGAATAAAGTAAGAAAAAATGACAGAGTTACTTTTTTTAATTGGTATATGTTTGTTTATAATACACTTTTTGGAGTTTTGAAAATATAATTTTTAGTTTGCATTAGCTTCATAGTTAATTAATACATTTTTTGTGTGTAGTATTACAATAATGTATCACATTTACTTGGTTAAAGTGTCTTTCAGATAGTACTCTTATTTTTTACATTTTTAGGTTTGTTGAGCCCAGTTTTGTTGAAATTGTTTATTTTTCTTCTTCTTCAGCTCTTGGAATTCTAGTGTATGCTATTCAAACCAATCCAGATGAACAGTCCTTTCGGAATAGTCTTATCTTGTGTAGAAATGAGCTTTCATTGGTCAGTGACTCCATTCGCAACCCCAAGTCAGATAGTCACATGCAATACTTATTGAACTGTTATAACCAGGGGCTTCTCCATAGGGCTAGCTGTGGACCATTTTCTGTAATATGGGTAGACAATTACCACCCAGACTGTAGTCTCTACGATGCCAGATGCTCCTATTTAAAACCAAGATACTTGACATTCTATGAAAGGATTGTGGATGTTGGAATTTTTGGAAAATGGTGGAATCTTAGAAAAATGATGATTGATTATGATGTAAATCCAGAAGAGTGGAATAAACAATATTAGTATGCCTTTTATGGAATGTCGAAATTTTGAATAGTTTCCTTTTGACTGCTTCTACCCTTTTTTCCAGATTTGAAGACTTACATTTTTGAGCTCTATGTCATCTACAAACTAAGACAGAGAGCAGAAGTAGTCTATGGGGAACTAAGTATTCAACAATAATAGAACACAAAACTTTATCAGTAAATTAATAATTTTAACACTGTAAATATGGAAATGTTGACTGGAATTTGTTATAATACTCAGTTTTTGTCTGTCCTGAAAATGCACTTGCATTTCATATCGACGGATGTAAATATACTTTAGTAGCCATTCTGTACAACATTAAAAGCTTATCAATATTTTTAAAGGGGTCTATCATTAGGTCATAGAATAACATTACAAATTTATTTATTGATAGTATTAAATACAGTAAAGTTTAGCCCTAATTAAAATAAAGCAAAAACTGTATACAGGTTACACTGTTAATTTATATCTTTATCAAATATAGGCTGAACTTAATAAAAGCTTAAGACAAGTGGACTTTAAGTTTCATTGTCTACAGTTAGAATTATTTTGTATTATTCTAGAAATCCTGTATTTAATGTTTGTGTCTTAAATAATACTAATTTGCTGATGGCATCACCATATATTTGACTGAAAACCAAAAAACCAGGTAATCCATATAAAGTAAATAAAGCAAATACATGTATTTTAAAAATGTTATATGGAACAGTGATCATGTTAATAAACATGTCGTTTATGTACGCGTATTTGATGCTACGTGCAATATTCATATAGCTACATCTAGTAAAGTTGCATTACAAGAGCACCCTGTTGTAGCCAGTTAAAAGAACTTAAGCTGATTCAAGTAAAACAAATCTTTATTCAACAGTTACTGTTCCAAGAAAGTTAACAATTGATTTATATTTAATAAGTTAATAAATACACAACATAACAGTAAAACTAAAAGTTTTCATTAGAAAATAGAAATGAACCTTCAACTATAACAAGAAATTAAATGACAGGGTGTTATCATTGGTCACATTTTTTGGATAAAGATATGAGCCAAATAATAAATAGTAATGATAGTAAGAGTAACAACAACACCTCAGTTAGAAAATATAGACCTTAAGGAGAGACAGTGAAGCTCATCCGTTGTTTAAAATAACATCTTTCTTACATCTTCAATACTGAGCATTCAGAACATTGTAGTAAAGCAGTATACGACTTCTAAACACCCCCCCCCCCATGTGGTTCACCATAGTGATCTGCTCCAATGAAAAGAAGGAGCTGCTACATATTACATTTTAGTGAGGTGTGTGTGTGTTTGTTGTTTTCTGATTAAGTAATGGGCAATACACAAATGAAAAGATAAAATTTTCCATGGGAGTGACATTTGATGTGTGATTACTACCCTATAATTGACAAATGGTTTCTGTTAACTAGAACAACAAATCTGAAACTGTTTGAACTCCACATGACGCAGCCTTACTACAGTTTCAAGTGTGTTCAATTGAAATAAAACTTATAATGGTGAAAAATTAGTTATCTCAAAATTCGTACCTCAAACTATACAAAAAAAAAACAAACAAAAACTAAAAATGTCACAGACTAAACCCAAAACAGGTAATAAAAATGAGATAAATTTGTTTTCAAGAACAAAAATTAAATATAAACCATAAGCTTTACAAAGGAAATGAAAATAATGCTTGTAACGACTAAGCAACTTGCTAAATACATGTACACTATTTTAGGTTTGTTTTGAATTCTGTGCAAAACTACATGAGGACTATGTGCTAGTTATCCCTAATTTAGAAATGATAGACCAGAGGTATGGCAGCACCACCAGCTCTTATTAAGATCAAATTGTTTATCACTAATATTATTTATTTTTACTTGAATTACCTTTAATTATCATTCAGGAGAAACAGCAAACTAGTAAATTTTTTTATTCTGGAATAGCTCGAGTGCCCACAACATCAAAGGAAGAAGACTACATTAGTAATTATATTTACTTATGAGTTGAAGTAAAAAAAGAATGTAATAACTTATAAACCACACTAAATCTTCTGTGTCAACTGCCAATGAGGACTTTCTACCAAGCCTCAACAGGCTAACTGGAATATACAAGACATATTGCAGACACTATTGACATCACTAATTGCTTGAACAACTGTTTTAGTGTGAATTTTAATTTTTTTAGTTAAAATTTTTTACTCGGGATGGAACGTCATTTTTAAAACAAAAATGGACATTGTGTTTAGCTTTAAATTTCAAACAAAGCAAAATCAAGAACATTATCAGATAATGTATTCACAGTTTCAAAAGATGAGAATCATGTTCTGCATTATTTCAGTATAATGTAAGTGTACAATACATTCTTAAGATCTAACACAGAAAAAATTCAGGGTATCTACTTAAAACCATTAAATTAGATATATATTTTCTGTGGTATTTCTAACTTGGATAGAACTGTAGAAGAATCTAACTGTTTAAAATGCGTAACAACAACTGAACTTGTAACACATGCTGTAAATTAACATTAAAGAAAATGTATGTATTGCACAATAACATATTAGCTTGAAAATAAATATACAACCTAATATCTTACATATACAAAAATGTTTAAATAAAGCATCACTTCTTAAATAAGCAATCAAGCTATTTGAAGCTACATTCATCATACTCTGCTCTTTATGCTAACATAACCATTGCATTGTGTTGCCAAAATATTTAAATTGTAATAATCATGACTCAGAAGTGAAAGATGAGCTAAAAATGCACTAGGAAAAGAACTCACTCAAAAAAGTAAGAACAAGGACTTTTTTTTTTTTATCATTTATACAAAAGTACTCTATGGCTATCTGCACTAGCCATCCCTAATTTTGAAGTAATAGAC